TTTAAAATAGCACAGTTGATAAACATTGTGACTTCTACCAGGTGTAATTTCATATTTAATGACGTGAGATTTCTGCCAGTTCACTATATTCAGATTTTCAGAGGAAATGGACGTAAACCTGTTCCAAACTTTTGAAATCCTTTAGCAAAATGAGAGTTGGGGCACTTAAGGAGGGAGGGTTTTGCAAGGACAAATATTTGGAAAAAGCTGTGCCAAGTCCCATCCTACATCCCGCTGCGGGGAAGACAGAAATTCTTCCTCCTCCCCTTAAAACTAGAGTTCGTCAGGAGCTCTTTGGGGACACCACCAAGGCTTACAGGGTCATGGGACCAGCTGGCGGGCATAGAGGACTGGGTCTTCTGCCTAGGGGATTTAGAGGATGATGGACAGGCTGGCTAAGTGGGGGGACAGGATCAGGAGAGTGCAGTTATATTGAAACCGTTGGGGTAAGGTAGGGTTCGGAGGCCAGCCGTGGGCCATGAGGGAGTGCTGTGGTCTGGATGTCCCCCAGATTCGTGTATCGACACTTAGTGTTCAATGTGACAGTATTAAGAGTTGGGCCTTGAGAAGGTGATTAGTTCCTGAGGGCTCTGCCCTCAGGGATGGAGTTAAGCCCTTGTAAAGGGGGCAGAGAGAGCTAGGTTTGTTCCCCTTTGCCTTTCTGCCTTCCCCATGTGAAGACACAGCAGGAGGTGGCCCGTCTGAGACAGAGCAGCCCTCAYCAGACTTTGAATCTGCTGGCATGGATCTTGGACTCTTAGCCTCTAGAACTGTCCTTGTAAAGTGTTTTGTTATAGCACCACAAATGGGCTCAGGGGGAGTAGGCATGTGAGGGTGTTTTGAGACCTGACCAATAAGGATGCCTGGTGACTGGTGGAAGCTCCAGAAGATAAAATTTCATTGCAAATGCCTAAGGTCTGAGAAAGGAGTCACCAAGGATTGCACAGATCCATAGGCTTTTTCCCCTGTGAAAGGAACGGCAGGAGCGAGGGTCCAGTAGGAAAACCTCCAGAGCTCTGAAAATTCCCCGTGAGGGTGAAGGTGAGCGTCAGTCATTTTCCGGGCTTGAAAACCATGAAGTCATATTCTTCTGGTACTTGTCCAAAGCCCTTGCGACCCCTTCTCCATCCTCCCCCTGCCTTAGGCCATGGCACAGGGGTGGGAGCCTCGGGGATCTAGTTATCTAGTCTTCATCTATTGGACTGACCCGAGGCTGTTCTGTGGTTTGAAGTGACCTTGGGATAATCTATTTGATCCTCTGGAGTTCCCACTTCTTCTCAGGGGAAGATTCTTCCTTTGAATGAACTTTGAATGGGATGGTGGAAGAGAATGGAGAAAATTATGTCAATCATATCATGAGTGTGGACATTTGTGCAAAAAAGGCTCTCCTGTCTTGGCCCCTCGGCCACATGTCGCCTGTGGAGAAGTTTCTCCCAGGCTTCTCTRCACCCTCTCCTCTAGGTCTGCCGGGAGCGCCTGTTCCCTCTCCAGCAAACTTACTTTTCCATTTTTTTTTTTTTTTTAGAGAACTAACGACTATCTGAAAGTGTCTTGTTCAAGTGTCTGGTAACGATCATWTACTTTCTACTGGACTGCAAGTTTCATCAAAGCAGGGATCTTAATGTCCGGTTCACTAGATCTTTCTCAACAGACTTAGGGCTTAATAAATATTTGTTTAGTGAGTAAATAAATTAATGCAAACAGCATAGGAAACATATGTATATTTGCACATATACTTAGGTGAGATTTTTTTTGTGGATTATTAATTTTGATACAACAGACCTTCCATCATCCATGGGTTGTACCCAATGACTCAACAAACAGCAGATAGAAAAATTTGAAAAATATCACATCTGTAATAAACATGTATAGACTTTTCTTCTTGTTATTAGTCCCCCAAAATATAGCACGATGACTATTACATAGCATTTACATTGAATTAGGTATTGTCTTCTAGAGATGATCTGAAGCATACGGGAAGGTGTGCATGGGTTATATGCAAACACTACACTATTGTGTATAAAGGACTTGTGCATCTAAGGATTTCAGTACTCCAGGACTTCATGGAACAAATCTCCCATGGACATCAATGATGACTATTCGTTTATGCTGTGGGGGTAACAAATTTCACATTATCTGTATGACTAATTTTCTCAGTTGACTCTTTCATGATAAAGTCATCATCTAAGAGGATATACTAACAGAACATATAATTTCAGAAAAATTTGGAGAAAGAATATTTGAAGGACTAACTACTAGAGAGAAGGCAGTTATAAGAAACTTCTGTACACTATTGATGGGAAAGTAAACTGGTAAAATCATTATAAGAAATAATATGATATTTCCTCAGAGTATTAAAAATGTGACTCAGCGATTRCACTTTGAGTGTAGTTCATTTTCTATTGCTATGACAAAATACCTGAGATTGGATAAGTTATTATAAAAAGAGGTTTGTTCTGGCTCATGCTTTTGAAGTCCTACATAGCACAGGCATTTGCTTGACTTCTCTTGAGGGCATCATGGCAGTAGAAGGAAGGCAGTAGGTGTGTGTGGAAGAGAAGCTTATGTCCATGAGAGGGAGGGAGATGCCAGGCTCACTTTAAACTTTTAAAGTAAACAATCCAGTCCCACAAGAGCAACAACTCCCAGGAGAAAGGCATTAATCCCTCTTAATGAACTAACTACTTACCTCTTAAAGTCTTCCAACGCCATTTAGCACTTAGTCCCGCGTTGGGACTAAGCTGCWATATGAGTTTGGGTGGGTGCAAAGCCTATTCAAACCACGGTAGAAAATGAAATCAGTAGCCAAAAAGGTCTCTGCACTCTCACGTTCACTGCAGCATCATTCACTGTAGCTACAGGAAAGCAATGCGAGGGCCACCCACCAAGAGATGAATGACGAGAAAATATGGCATGTACACATGGGGCGGGGGGGGGGGGGGGGGGGGCATTCTCCAGTCTTGAAAACTGAGATCCTGCCACTGCAGTGACATGGACAAGCCTGGAGGACATGGTGCCAGGTGCAGTACTCCAGATCCAGAAGCCAAACACGGCACGACCTCACTTACATGTGCCGTCTCAGACAGCCCAGCTCACAGAGGGGCAGAGTGGAAACGGTGGTGGCCGGGTCAGAATAAGGGAGGAGTGGAGAGGTCTGTCAAGGAGAACAAGGCTTCCGTTATGTGAATGAATGAGTTCTGGGAGCCCGGCACTGTCATGGGTGAGAGTAGATGTGGGATGGGGAAGCTCAGCTCAGACGGTGGTCCCTGGTGTCACGTTTTTCCTAGGGATCACCCTTATGCTTGTSTGTATACTTTAATATAGACATGTGTCCCCCAAAAGYGCATGTGTGAGACAATGCAAGATGGTTGAAATGGTGGGGTGACTGAAGCCAATTTAAAGATAGTAGTTAGTGTAGTTAGGTAAATTGGGTCTAATATGGAGTTAGATAAAGAGAATGGAGACCATTACGGAGAATAGAGTCCAGGAAACCAGAACATGCCTGGGGACATTGAAATGTTAATGTCCCCAAGACCAGAGCCCATCCTAAGGAACTGTTAATGAACTAGCTCCCTGCAAACAGGGAGGTGCTAATCAAACCACCCCAGGCCCTTCCTGCCCAGATGACTCCTCCAGCCCACCKATCTCCCACCTTTTGGCCTTCCCACCTGCATTCTATCCCTGCAAGATAAAGGGGAACAAAGGACAGGAATGTGGGGGAACTCAGAGAAGACCTTAGTTATAAAAAAGGGAAGGCCTCCCCCTTCCACGGATTCTGCCTTTCGGGGGCCCCTTCTTCCTTGGGGAGAAGTCTTCTCTGCTGTCCTTTAGTAAAGCTTCCACTGTCCACTCTCCACGTGCCTCGGCTGCTTCTCTGGTGATACACTTCAGCATGCGGGGAAACAGCGGTAACATTATGAGAGCCTTAACTCAGTCGGTAAATTACTCCCCTGATAGGGATTAACTGAGTGGTCGCTGTGGGCGAGTAGGTTGCTAACTATTGGAGAGAACTCAGACACAAGAAACAAGTGAGTGGTGGGGCCAGAGCCTTGGTGAACTCAACCWAGTGGAGGAAATAGTTGAGGGTGTACATGGGCTTGACGCACTGCTGGAAGAAACACCCAAGCTGGGGAGGGTCATGTTCAAGGGTGTGGCCGGAGGAGGTGGGCTCCTGGGGGCATGGCTTTGTCATAGATATTTTGTCTTGGTTGAGCAGCTCTCTCTCTCTCTCTCTCTCTCTCTCTCTCTCTCTCTCTCTCTCYCYCTCTCYCYCTCTCTCYCTCTCTCTCTCTCTCTCYCTCTCTCTCTCCCTCTCCCTCCCTCCCTCTCCCTCTCTCCCTCCCTCTCCTTCCTGGTGTGATGTCTTGAGCCGTTTCCCTCCATCCCACTCTTCCACCCTCATGTTCTGCCTCACCTTGAGCCCCAAGGGATGGAGACAGCTGTCCATGGACTGAGACCTCTGACATCACAAGCCCCCAAATAAACTTTCCCTTCTCTAATTGTGCTTGTCAGGTCTTTTGGTCACAGCAAGTGAAAATTCTTTCTAAAACATATATTAAATATATATTAATAATACATATTCAAGTGTATAAATGGTTATCTCTTTACATTTGATATCTAGAGATCTCTATTCATCTATCTATCTATCATCATGAGCCCAAGGATGGATGGAATAAGGTTGGAACCCAGCTCCTCTGCCTTGTTGCTCTGGTAACCAAGGCAACCTGCAGGCAAAACCAGAGGAGGCAAATCAGGGGAATCGGGTAGGCCCAGTGGTAACTGAGCCCAGGGGACATTTGCATCCTCCCTGAGCCCTACCTTTTCTCTCTAGGAGAGCACAACCTTCCTGTCTTGCCCGAGCATCCTGCCCTCTGAGAAGCTCTGGCTCAGATGCAGGGCAGGACCACTCTTCTTGCACCTCCAGGAAGAAGTGAGAGCAGGGCTGTGGGCAGGGAGGAGCCCAGGAGCCAGGTGTCTGCGGTGACTGAGGAGAGCCCGAAATGCAGCCCGCACTGACAGTCTTCTTCATGCTGCTGTTTGTCCTRCTGTGTTTCCTGGGGAGCCTGGCCAACGGCTTCATCGTGCTGATGATGAGCAGGGAGTGGCTGAGACGGGGTAGGCTGTCGCCCTCCAACACGATCTTCCTTTGCTTGGGTGTTTCCCGTTTCTCCCAGCAGTGCTTTGGACCCGTGTACATCTTCAACTATTTCCTCCACCCGGTTGAGTTCACCAAAAGTCTGACCCGACAGATCGTTTGTCTGCATTTGGACTTTATGAACTCAGCCATCTTTTGGTTCAGCACCTGGCTCAGTGTCCTGTTCTGTATAAAGATCGCTAACTTCTCCCACCCCACCTTCCTCTGGTTGAAGTGGAGGCTCCCGGGTTTGGTGCCCTGGCTCCTTCTGGGCTCTGTCCTGATCTCCTTAGTCGTAACCCTCCTGTTCTTTTGGGGGAATCACAATCTGTACCAAGAATTCTTAATTAGACAAGTTTCTGGGAACATGAGCCACAGGGAGTGGAACAGGAGGCTGGAAACTGACTACTTCATGCCACTGAAACTCGTGACAATGTCCCTTCCTTGCTCTCTCTTCCTGGTCTCCATTGTGCTGTTGATGAGTTCTCTGAGGAGACACATCCGGAGAATGCAGCACAGCGCCCACAACGTGAGGGACCCCAGCGCCCAGGCTCACACCAGAGCTCTGAAGCTGCTCATCTCCTTCCTCGTTCTCTATGCCACGTCATTCGTGTCTCTGGTCATTGATGCCACGGTCTTCATTCCCTCCGACAGCCTGTGGTACTGGCCGTGGCAGATCATACTCTACCTGTGCATGTCCGTCCACCCCTTCATCCTGATCCTCAGCAACCTCAAGCTTCGAGGTGTATTCGGGAAGCTGCTTCTCCTGGCCAGGGGCTTCCGGGTGACCTAGGTGGCACAATCTCTGTGTCTAGACCCCCAGAAGAGACTCAGGTAAGGGTGACGGAACCAGGGCTCAGTGTGAAAACGTCCTCACAGGCAGGGGACGGCTGGATGGCGCTGGAGTCCCTCCTCTGGGAAGGAGAGGAGGAGGAAGACCTGAGGATTCCCTGGGACTGCTTCCTTTCCTTGGGACTCTATTCCAAGGGGCCCCCATGAGCCCTGGAGAGCCAGTATTTCCCAGAAGTTGGAATATGAAAGTTTGTCCTGCTTTTATGTTTGTATCCCCCTTTTATCTGGAAGCCTTCCATTAAGTCTTGATGAATTGGCCCACGTCATGTCTGCTAGCTACTGGAGAGTTAAGACAAAATGTGTGTCTAGGACAAAACTAGACGTGCCTGGAGAAGCAGCAGTGTCCCTGGGGACAAAGTAACCAGCACCAAGGGAGCCCCAGGGGACAATTCGCTGGGGCCAGCAGGGCCAGGGCTGGGAGTTCTAATCGCCCTTGACTCCGTGGACATCCATCTTCTCCTGCGGAACTCGGACTACTTGGATTTAATTTTATGAAGGTCACTGGAGACCTTCTCTGTGCCACCCTGTCTCTTGTCTCATTAACATCTGCAACGTTCTGCCTTTAATTCTCTCCTCTCTGAAGTTTTGAGCGGCAGCCAGACGTGGTTCATGTTTATTATTCCTTTAGAAAAAGACACATTTTGACTTTCTCCTTTTTCAAACTGTCTTTGGGAACTTCTTTTTTCTTCCCTCAAGCAAATGTCACAGTGTCACATCTGAATTGAATAAACATGTACTTTGTATTCAGAAGAATAAAGACTTAAGAATTTCATTTGGTTTGTCTAAACACTATTTTAATGTTTGTTTTTTTTCCAAAAAAGAATCACCCTGTTTAATTTTATGTTTAAATATTGTTTTAAAATAACTTGCTTCAGTTACTTTCCAAATGTTTTGAGAAATAGTTTGTAAAGAAGTTTAATTATATTTGGGTGTCTATAAGTTTTTGCTAAAGGGTGTCAATGTGAGAATTTCAGAGACTAGTTTGCATCTGGATTCCTAATAGGGATGTATTTTAATCTCCTTTGAGGGTGCAAATAATTTCCCTATTGATTAGGGTATATGCTAAGTGGACACATGCTTATGAACTCTGCTCTTTGGCCAAATGACTCTACATTTCTGATTGAAAGATTTTCAATAGGTAATACATTTGCATGGCTAAAAATTCAAAATGTATTGAAGAGTGTATGTGGAATATCTTCTTCCTGTCCCTTTTCTTCTGGGGCCTTCTTCTCAGTTTTATGTGTGTCCTTCTAGAGGTACTTTATTCTATACAAATCTCTAACTAATGAGCCAATCAAGGAACCTATATACTGCTGTACTCTATACCACTTAGCACTAAGTAACCAACTAACTTATTAACTAAGACTACGTCGTTGCTGTGTCTTTCTACACGAATGGTTGCGTATCATCTTGAAGGACTCTGGCTTTCTCTCATACACGGTGTGGGGGGGAACTAGGGAAAGTCAGTGTTATCAGTAGAAAAGCTACTTGATCACAAGTATGCTTGGACCGTTGCTTCTGGGGATGCTGGTCATGCAAGCAAGCTAATGGTGTCACTGCTTCTGCAGCCCCTTTTCCACTGGTGAATGGAGCACTACTGGGGTCACTGAGGAGATATGTGTCACTCGCCAAGTTGGCTGCCACTCGAAAACCCGCCATGAGGGAGAGGAGGCAGTGCTTGCTATCTGTCAGCCTGTTGCTACTGGACCATCCCTGTGAGACTTTCTCAATAAAGCTTTAGGCCTTRTGCACAGTCTCTGGGCATTTTCTTTGGTCTCTTGGTAACCTATCCCACTGCCCTGCGTGACTGGCCGTGGACATGCCAGAATAAAGCCTGCTGTGGGGCGGGGTGCAGGGGAGATTTTCTTCTGAATAGAAGAGATTGGGCTTATTCTCCTTGGGAGAAGCAGGGAGGTTCTGCTGTCGGGGAAGCTTAGTCTGTGAGCTCCCAGGCTTGTTCAGAAGGCCACAGAACAAGCTTCTGCCATACCCAGATGCCCCTCCCTTGTCTCTGAGTGATGCTAAACCCCTCTCAGCTCCAGTTCCTGCTGTCCTCCTCCTCTTCCTTTATTCTCCAGGAGACTGAACCATTGCTCCTGGCATGACTCTGAGCCCCAAGTTTTGCTCTCATTTTGCACTGATTTATTTTCCATGAAAAAAAAAGTTTAAAAGCTTTCCCAAGGCCAAATGTCTCTGGTGATATTTAGGCTCTGTTTTGTGAATCAATATCAGAAAAGTAGACTCTCAATCCGCCCTTTGACAGACAGGACCTGTCTAGCAAGGGGTTTGCCATTTGACATGTGGCATGAGATCAGATGTGAGTTGTTTTCACAGATGACAGAAAAAACACCAAGGGTGCTCTGTTTATTTTTGCTGAGTTTTTAGAGCGTTACTCAGATGGTATGGCATCTTGTCATTAAAAAACAAAACAGGACGGTGAGACAGTGGAAGACACTTTCTCACTACACCTTCATTCAATTCTCAACGTTGAGATCTGTTTRTTCATTGTCGCTTCTAAAATTTCTCTGTCTTCTAAGTAACTTCCAGTCTATATCCTCCAGCTTGCTCCTTCTTTGACTCTTTGAACCCTACCTTAAACTCTACCTTCAATTCTGCCTGGCCTATGGAATCTGCCATCACTGAGGGAAGCAGCAGTATAAATGGTTGATTCACTTACTCCTTCCTCTTAAGCAAGAAAGAGAGTTTGTTGGACTAAAGAAGAAAACAAAGAAGATTATGCTATTTATATTTTTACCTCTATTATTTTACCTGCCTGGTGGAAAGGAAGAGCTTTCTTCTAGACTGCATCGTAGACGTGCCCTTCTCATGTCAAAAACTCTGCGATCCTGTTACAGTCTGTAATGCAAACTCCTTGGCTTTGTTTTCCAAGTCTACTATGTGCACACCCCCCCGCTTTCCAGTTCCTACTCTTCCTAATGACAACTCAGAATGCCATCTCTGCTGTCACCAAACCGGTTTGCTCTCTCCTCTCTGGTGAACCTTCCTCTCTCTACCTCCTCCCTGGCTTATGTCATTCCCCTGCTCRCCAAGAACGAACCACCCTCTTTCTGCTCAGTCATGCATGGAAATTCTMCTTTTTCTAAGACCCAATGTATTCTACCTTTCCCTTTAATTCCTTTGCAAACTCCATGAACTTCTTTCCCCTCTCTAGGGGAATTCCACAAATTCCATGGGGCTTCTCATCTCTATCTCCTAATTGGCGGTTAACCAAATATTTTACTTTTTGCATGATTGGGTTATGTTGTAATTGTTTTCTTTTTCTTTTCGGTATTTATCTCTTATCTTTCCAAATCATCTCCAGGTTGTAAAGAGGATGTTGCACTCCGTGGAGCCTGACATGGATTTGTTTACTAGTTGGTATTTCTTTCCAAGACCTGTGTGATGTCCCAGGTCTTGTGATGCTCAGCACACAGGATTGGACTTGGAAGACATGTTCATTAAATAAGGAATGTATCAGATTGATTGTAGATGAAGTTGACATTCAGGACAATGGTGAGGGTAATAACAGGGATTTTTCTGGATGTTCACTCAATCAACAAATGTGTTATTTTAGATTTCTGATTGGTGAATCTGGTTGGGAAAAGGCCAGAGCTACAAAAAAAGAGTCCAGAGCTTACATCATCCTTTATTCAGGCTTTCAAAAGAAAAGAGAACATCTTTCCAACAAACACACACATTCTTGTGTGTATAGTTGACAAACACTTTCTGCCTTCGTACAACTTTGATTGTCTTTAGGGGAAGAACCTCCCTTTTCATTTCTGAATTTTTGTGTGTTTCTCTGTTCCTACAACCAAATTCTCACACAGTATTTAGCTCAGAGCACCAGCAGCACCATTATGCTGGAGCTGAACATGATGACCTAGTGTGTGACAAGCATACTGACCACAAGTCTCAGCAGGTTGTGTGTGTCCACAGGTGGGCAGGCCCATGGTGACTTCCACCTCCATGGAAGATTATCTAGACCCACAAGGGGGAAGAGACAGCTGCCAGCAGCACCCAGAGACTTGGGTTCACCACTATCTTGTAATGCAGGAGTTACAGATGGCCACGTAGTGCTCATAGGCCCTTGTAGCCAATTACATGAATTTGATTTCCCAAGATCCAGGGAGAGGAAAAGTAGAGTCCCACATCGGGTGCAGAAGTTGGTCTTCTCCTCCATGAGGAGGTGCACAAGCGTGGAGGCCCTGCAGAAGTGAAAGCAGATGCCCATGCAGAGAGGTTGCAGAGGAAGAAGGGCCTGGGCAGGTGCAGTTAGTTGTGTGTGCTCAGCCCAATCAGGGGGACAGGAAGCCTGTTGCCCAGTAAGGTCAGCAGGTGGGTGGCTGAAAACAGGACAGAGTCCAACCTGGGCCTGCCTGTCACTGGAGAGAGCCATTAGCACAAACTTGCCTACCCAGCTCACCTTGTCCAGCCCCATGAAGCAGGTGGGACAGGTTGCACGGATTTAGAAAGGCCTAATCAGAATCAGAATTCACAAATGTGTGTGTGTGTGTGTGTGTGTGTGTGTGTGTATTTTCTTTTTTTTTTTTTGTAGAGTGCTTGAGTAAAAGGTGTTTAAGTTACCTTTGAGGCTGTGCTCTGATCATGTAGGACATTGAACTTCTGTTCTGGAAATCCCCTTGAACTTACTGCTCAGGCTGGAGGCACCACTGGCCCTTCCTGCTTCTCCCATAATCCAGGCTGGATCAATGACAGAAAATTGCTCAGCTGGTTCCCAGTGATTAACCAGGCTTTGTCCTATGTTGATAAGATCAGGGCCTCATTGTGGGTTGTTATATCAACTATAATTATGTCCCAACTTTTGGAGATTATGCTGTTTCCTTGGTGAAATGCTGGCATTTGTTTGACTATGAAAGTAAGTGACTAATAAATATAAATGCACACATCACTCTTGCAATGACAACCCCTGGAAGCTGACAG